GTTGAGGTGTCTATTTCTATTTCCTATGCAAAATTCAAGATGGGAAACTGACCGTATCTTTTTTTAGTGCCCAAACTAAGATGCTCTACACGGTATATAACAACATAGAAGCTAATACCAACTGGGGTAAAAAGGTTATTTGAAGGCACTATCTTAGCGATTTACACAGCACACATATATACGCATTTGCTAAATTTAAACATGTTAAGGCAATTGTTGAAAAAAAATGCTGATTTTTTAAGGATTTACTGACTGTTGTTTTCTATATTAGTCTGTCCAGAGATAAATGGAAGCAAACCAGACGAAATCCCATCTACCGAGAAAGGTGACTTCGATAACTTACTGTAATAAGTGTCTGAGAAAAAAAGGCGCTGCCTTTCGAAGACTGTCATGCAGTAGTTAGATCTTCCTGTTTTCGCTTTTACTCAGGAATACTTGGCAACTATTAAATGGAGGCGTTAAACGAACTCATTAAGGGCACGAATGCACCACTAACACCAATAGTATTAAACTGAATGTCTTACATAAAAAAAAAAAAATTAACAACTAATGATCTCTTAAGACCAGGCGATGTTTTATGCGAAACTGAAAAATAACATTGAATTTAATATTGATACTATCTGGTAAGAAAGTTTGCTCGTGAGATCAAACACCATAAGTACCAACAAGCGGTCTGCTAATTTTTACCTCACGCTTTGGCCGATAACATTTTCATAATTATGTAGATAAACGAGGGGAACTTTATCTGACTTGTTATTAGAATACGAACTATTAATATCCGTTTCATTATTATTATCATGATTATTATTTTTTATTTTTTTTTATGAATCATATTAAATAATTTTTCGGTTTTTTTTTGTGTGTGTTTTTAAACACAGTCAGAACAGTTAAAAGAGTATAAAGACAAAAACAGTATAAAGAGGCCAGTTGTTCGCAGTTTGTGACTATATCTTACGCAAGGAATATCTTACCAAGGAAAAAATATAAACTGTGTTTATGCACCGTGCCGGGGTACTGAAAAGTTGTTCTGGAAAGGAACTAAACCTTAAGAGAAGAGTGGCAGTCGCGTAGAGAAGATCAGAAGCTGAGTAAACATGAACGTGACAGCGAATAGATCATTCATCCACAGCTCCGGTTTACATGAAATGTTTACAAAATGCCAACTTTGAGGAAACCCATAAATTATTTGATTACAAACTTGGCCATGTTCCATTTTTCCTCACTCTTCCGCTTCCAGCAGAGTTGCATGCTGGTTCTTGGCCCATTCATTGCTCTCTTGGCATGGTCTTGTGCGAGCTTCGTTTTTACTTGCCACACGTTTCCTTAATTGCGCCTACGGCTTTTCAAGGAAGATCCCCTTTTCATTGATTAATAGCAGCGATAAACAGCTACTTCAATTAATTTTATGTTGTCGGGTTTTAAGGCGGTGTGTACACCACATATACCGGATAGTCTTTCATGTCGATGTGGAAACGCTACCGGTGCAGCATGAACACCTGCGTTTGTACTGCGCAAACTTGAAGTGGCACCGAAATCTATCCAAAGTGTGACGATCCACTTCAAAATCGACGCGGTGAAGCTTCGCTTTAATTTGTTACAGACGTCGCGTTGTGCCAAAATCGTCGTTCTTATGTGTGGACAAAAGCCCTATTCGAAATGATTTCGTGCCGGCGTATTTAAGAGCTATACCCGGTATAGATCGTTTTCACTGTCACGCAACAAAAAATTAAATTGGAAACTGTCCAATGGAAGAAGCCAAAAAAATGAAATGTCATAAAAGACTAATATATAAACAATTTGTCTAAGTGTCAGGTCTTTGTGGGTCACAGTTTCTGAGTTATTTGCCGAAAACGTTTCACGCTCCTTTGTAGAGCTTTGTATGGAGACGCTATATTGGTGCACCGTTTTGGTGCACCAATATGGCCGCCGGAAATCAACAAAAACATCTGAAGTTCACTTTTTCTATATTTTATAAAAGCTCTTTCTTTTCACTCGATATCTAGCATACGTACGCATAAACATATCTTCTAATACTTGAAGTGGTTATACTGCTGAAAGTTAAGAGGAGAGACTTTTTTTCAACGAGACAGCATTCCTATCTTGGTACGCACTGTGAAAACTCGGAAGTTCAAATTCCTGTATTTTTGAAATGAAACATGCTACGGAAATGGAAACTTATACAAAGATTTACTTTTTGTTTATCTTCAACCTAGTGTAAATAAGAATTCGTAAAACCTCGCTACTTTGACTTTGCAATTTGATGACGTCACAGTGAAAACCATCTATAGTGTAGATGTTGTAGTTAATTTTTTATTTCAGTTAATTTTTATTTTTCCATTGTTTTTGGGTATGGTAATGTATGCTAAACAATTTAAAACAGAGGAAAAACAAAATTTAACTGAAATAAAAAATTAACTACAACATAGACATACAAGGCAAGAGTAGATAGCGAAGGTCATATAGCTGGGGTAGCGGTAAATCTTTTGTTATTTAGTTTAACCGTTCAACTGTTACGTTGTCAGTCTATCAGCATTGTCTAAACCCTCACAAACCTTTGCCTTTGTGATTTTACAACAGAGTAGTTTCTTTATGGTTGAGTTTGGGAAATTTTTATGGAGTTACCCGGCGGTGCGATCTTACCGCGGGAGCTTTCCGTCAAAGTTATTTGAAATGGCTGTAAATAGTAACAATGGAAAAATATATTAGCGACAATGGGTCGTCAAAAATAGGAAGTTAAAAGCTTTGAAGCAGGTGATATTCCACGGTCGTGAATTAACGATAATAAGACCTAACGTTTACTTGCTTGCATCTAAATCTACGACGCAATCGACAAGGTAAGAATGAAAGACAAAAGAGGATCTTACGAGATATACTTTTTTATTTTCAAAATTATCCCAGAGACACGGGAATAGATTTTGAGTTCATTTTTTCACCGGCACATACACAAACCTTCGAGAACCAAAAAAAAGAAAATACAGGGCGAAATGACGCATGTTGATAAAAAGACAGCGGGGGTATTTCTTCTTTGTAGGCAATTTTCGTAATCAAGGGTGCATGCGCAATACCGCCAATACGATCCAGGGAATGTAAGAACGTCTCGCGTTGAACTGATCGTTTGCAAATTTCACGCTGTTCAAGCTTTTGTGGAGGGAACACAGACGATGTAATTGTCTTAGAATGAAGCATTCGTTGTTTTAATTGGCTTCAAGCAAGGAACTTATTAAGTTAAACGAGCAGTTTTGTAATTAGTATCTTGCAGAAAACAATTTCTAATCATAACTTGTTTTCCAAGTTGAAAAAGACTCTTGTAGTGGAAAAAAAGTGGGTGCCGTAATAATCTAAACTTAATCTCGTACGAAACACAAGGATAAAACCAAAAACCTACGAAGAAATTGTGAAATATTGTTTATTTTTTTAAAATTACCTTAACAAGAGGATCCAGTCCTTTGAGCTCGCTTTTTTTGCTAAGTAACCTCCCTCTCGCCCATCCCTTAACAGTTTAGATTATCCTTATGGCATAGACGGCAAAATTTATTCTTAATGCAAATTAGCAGACGAAGACGGTATTTTTTTATTTGAGGGCAATTTTGGCTCGAAACGACAACGGTACAATAGAAGGAACAACAACACAAATCTTTATTTTTCTTGATTCTTCTTTTTCACTTTATTGCACGGGCCCGCAGGTAGCCTGTTCTTATCTTGGCTGGACACCTGTAGAGAATTCTGTTATCTAAAAATACATAGGTCTACACAGACATGAACTGCAAAGAACCGCAAACGAATATGCCGAAGAAAGTGGGATCTAAAGGGACCTGATCAGCAAAAATATAGCTGTCTTGCTCACAACTACAAACCTTCTCTGTTTTGGGTTCTTTTGGTGTGTGTTGTCACTTGATGTACTTCAAAAGTTAATTTTCATGTGTGGTACGATCAGACAATTGTATATAAGAATGTTATGTTATATTATTATTATTATTATTATTATTATAGTATTAAATTATATAAGAGAGTATACAAAGGAAAAAGCGAATTTACAGTATGATGCAATCCCATCTTGATAGTGACAGTTTCTAAACACTTGCCTTGTTTTTGTTTTTCATTTCATACCAGTTGATGTTAATCCATGAAGGCGATTGTTTGTTTGTGTTTTTGGTTTGTTTTTGTTTTTGTTTTTTAATTTTCTCTGTTCTCGTGTGTATGAATGCATAATTATGAAAGACAGAGAAAAAGTTACCCTATTGTTCTTAGATAGGGCTACTTACAAACAAGGGCTGACGCTCTAATCTTATAAGGTCGTAAGGCAACTGATGAAAACAGTTCTTTTTGCTTTTTCCTTTTCCACCCCTCTTCCATCCTTACCTATGTAGCATCACAGTTTCTTATGAAGTTTATATGGTTTTCATACAAAGCGCTTACCGGCGTGACGTCACGTCGGCCATATTAGTGCACCCAAAACAATAGGAAGCTTTTGCATCGACGAAAACGACGGCAGCGTCGTATTTAGACTGAAAATCAAATCTCAAATTTAGGTGAATTATGTGGGGCGGCACCCAAGTTTAAATTTAGAGAAAAAGAACATTCGTCGTCACTTGTTTACGTCTTCCATAAATCGTCATATACGGGTATTTCACCTCTTAGTTGTGCATTGACGGCAAATATATGTACTGTTTTGCTTACAAAACCTATTGCTTCTTTGACGCTCCAACGCTGAATGCCATCCCTGTCTCCGTTGCTAAAAGCTACCTATTATGTTGGTGTTCCAAGGCAATCCTATGAGAGTTGAATTTTTTCGTAAGAAAACATTTTCTTTTTACATTAATAAGGCAGGGTGACCACAACAGCGGTGTCAATAACCCATTTTCGAATTGCCAGGCCTCTTTATCAAAGCAAAGGCGGACTGTTGCACAAACCTTTCATACGAAAATGAGGTTTTAAAATTTGTGACTGAGTAAAACTTATTTTCTAATGAAATGATAGGCACCAGGACTCGCCTGATACTGTCATAATACATTTTCCCGGGAAATTGTCGCCGCCCTTTCACGCAGTTGGTCTTGCTGTGTCATTTGAATGCTTCCAGTGGTGTGACCAGTGTCGTTGTCCTGTGATTCACCCCGTCTCATGAACATAGCACCAATCCTTGTTGCAAAGGAACGTGATCGTATCATCTGCCTCATCTTTTTCCTGAATCTTTGGTTCAGCAGAGCGTACGCAAATGGATTGATAGCTGAGTTGAACAACAGCATCGTGTGCGCGATAGGAATAGCTAAAGGACTCAGTTTCACGGAGTCAGCAGCATGTTCGTCTAACAGATGGAGTATCGCATCTGCTCCCCAAGATATTACAAGAATGGCGCTCACGGTTACAACCATCAAGGTCACTCGCTTCCTCAACCTCAATACACCCTGTGTACAAAACGATTGATAAGCCACAGGTCACCCAAGCTTACAATATAGCTGTGCGACCTTGCAGCTCTCGGAAGATCTCACGCGATTGGTTGAGAAAACAGTGAATAAACAAAGTTAGTAATGTAACTTGTGCCGAAAAAAAAGAGTTGCTACCCATAAGGGTTAAATCAGAAGTAATCTGAAGACTGAAGATTTAAGGCTGATCTTTGATATGAGCAGTGTCGTTTAGAATACATAAGAATAAATGACCTTTTTGGTCTTGTTAACGTATGTATTATGACTGAGAGGTCTGAACTGCTAACTCTTGAAAACTTTCGTTGTGCCTTTCTTCCGAGCCGACTGACTGCCCCTAGGTCTCCGAGGATGACTGATCACACAGCTGATATTTATTTGTTTATTTATTTTTTTGCGAATCCACTAAACGTAGATAAACAGACAGAACCTAACGTCCCTTACCAGGCCAATTTGGCCAACCCAAACACCAACATAAGAACAAACCATTTTCAACTCTCGCGTTAGTTAAGAAAAAACTGTATCTGAGATCCAAAGAATTTCATTGATAACTTGGTTATGGGTAGAAACCGGTACCCGTCAATTTTCCAAAAATTGAGCTGATAACTGAGTACGCGTAGGACGTAACGGCTCGGCGTCCGACCTTCAGCCAACTTAAACTCTTTATTTTAACACCAGACGTTAACAGGCGCGTCTCACTTTAGATTTTATTCGCTGGTCTCAGAACTATCCAGTCAAGCTCGCCATTGAGTAAAATAGGCCAGTTTCAGTAATTTATTCTTATTAGGTATTTTAGAGGGGTTATATTTTTCAATGGAGGGTATACGAAAGGGGTACCTTTTCTGTCAGAGGGTGAAGGGTTGGACCTCGGAGCGGAACTTTCTCCATATAAAACTATTATGAGTAGTCCTCAGACGAATAATTTGTCCTGATAAGGGTTTTGGCCCCATGTAAGGGAATACAGATTCTGAAATCCAGGAAATTTTTTTGCTTGTGGAATTTGTTTACTTGGGCTTTAGAGTCAATCCAGCTCAAGGAATACGGAATCCCACTACTGATTGGAATCCGGAGTTCAGTACCTGGAATCCAGAATCCAGAATCCAAGACTGTCTTGATATTACCTTGCATAAAGCGAAGGGTCCTACCTGATTTGTGAGTACGGCATTACCACTTTGCTTGAACCACAATGTGTACACAATTCTGGAGTAGATCAAGACCAGCAGGATCATGACGAGGCAATAGATTGAGAGAAAAACCGTGCGGTATTTTCTTATGCTTTCTTTGGACAACAAAAAAATGCAAGGGGTGGAACTATCCTCTTCAACAAAGCGGCTCCGCTTCATAAATATTGGAATGTTAACTATTAGTGCAAGGATCCAGATTCCAGGAATAATCACCTAAGGAGACATAAAAGAATTGAGAAAGGTGAATCACAGACCAAGAAGCCGACTCTGTCGTCGCTCTCTCCTCCGCAGAGTCCTCTTTGTGTCGTATGGAGGGGAGGCTGGGGTTAGGGAAAATGAAAGGACGAAAGGAAGCGGAAGCAAGGCCTCCCGCGTTTTCTCTCTTCCCATCGTCCCCTGCGCGCTTGCTACTTTTCGATTATTTCTATTTTTACTGGAATACTTAACGGTAGCCTCTTCGGGAGAGAGAGCTGTCATCGTGGAAACTGATCTAAGTTCGTACAGGAATATAATTTGCTGATAATGCCACATAGTATTTCAAAGTATCAAACCTTCAATCTCTGCAAAGTTAGCTTTCCTCTGTTTCCATAGGGATGTACTACGGCAAAGTATCGTTCAAACGCAATGACAAGCAGTGTAAACATTGACGCAAGTCCTCCAATCCACGCGAAACTTCCCCCGAAACTTCCCCCGGTTATAACTGCACACAGAAATGTTCCAAAAATCCCCTTTGGATGGCCGACGTTGTGGCTCAAGATAATCGTCGGGATTATGAATGTGGCGTAGCAGATGTCTGCTGTTGCCAGGTTCACCAGTAGATAGTTGATGGGAGTCCTGTGGGATAATGTGTTCAGTCAGTTAGCAGGTAGTTGATGGGAATCCTGTGGGATAATGTGTTCAGTCAGTTAGCAGGTAGTTGATGGGAATCCTGTGGGATAATGTGTCCAGTCAGTTAGCAGGTAGTTGATGGGAATCCTGTGGGATAATGTGTCCAGTCAGTTAGCAGGTAGTTGATGGGAATCCTGTGGGATAATGTGTCCAATCAGTTAGTGATATCCTCAAATGGATCCTTGAGCCAACTCGTAGGTAACCGTTCTCAAATTACATACGGCTGACTACTACGGGAAGAAAAGGCGTGTGATCATAGTTTCTGGAGATCTGCCTAAAGCTACATCACTCAAACGTTGTCGCTGTCTTTAAGAAATGGCAGAAGATTCGCAAAAAAGGCTTGATGTTCAGCCCATAGCTTTATATATTATTAACTGAGCTCCCTGTGCCCAGTTTATAAAATGTTTGTCCATCTTCGCAGAGTGTGTTTAAAGATGGATTTCTTCCTCTGAAAGGCCTCTTTGAAGGTCTAAATTTCAGATTAGGATTGTAAAGAAGACCCGTCCGACGAAAAACAGGAACTTTACGAATTTCGCACACAAGTTCATCTCATAGCCTCATTGGCGAGAGGGCAAATAAGCGGCGACGCTTCGAGAACACAAAGCTTCACCGGGAGTTTCAAAAACTTGATAGAAATAGAGTAATAAGGCAAGTAAATTACGGTACAAGGTTTCCTGAGTTAGCATCCTAGCTTACAGTTGTTCCCCAAAGGGGCCCAGAGTTTTTGCTTTTGTTTGTATCTGTATCATGAAATTTGTGCCTGATCGAGTGTTATGCTTCTCCTAATGTCGGTGTCTCCGCTAATTCATCAAGCACGATTGATATTCAATAAGCGAGTTTCGATAAACTTTGAAAGTCCAGAGCTCGCTTTAACATGTATACCTTTTTATGTAAACAACCTGCATTTGACTTAAGGAAAAATGTGATGGGGCATAGGGAACTCACACTTTTAAATGGTCAACTGCAAATGGAAATTAAATGAGAGATAAAAACTCACCTGTTCTGTTCTTGTATTAGTCATAGCTACACAGCAGTTTTTAGTGTCGTCACGCAACGCTCCTCCCCAGCATTGCGTGACGACCGTGAAAACGGCTGTGTAGGAGACTCTTCCGCATCTTCTGCGGAGCAAAGTGAAATGGAAGTTGTTCTATCATGCAAAAACGAGGTGGGGCTAGGGGCCTCTCCCCCCCTACCCTTGTCCTTAGACCAAAGTTAGGCCGTAGAGGCAAGAAAAAACATTTTCGAGGCCGCCCCCCCTCTTACTTAAAGATCAAGGGGAGTGCTCAGGTTTTTTATCCGTATCGTACGGTATCCCGACACAGATCAAATAAAAGGAGAGGGGACAGCATTGCGCATGCCCAGCAGTGAAATTATCAATTTGAGGAAGTATTTAGATTAACAAGCGCCTTACCTCATATCGCGATTTTTCATCACTACAACACAAACGAAAAAGTTTCCCACGATGCTGGTGATAATTAATATGACATTTGATGTTGTCATGGCAACATCAGCTGTATCAGACATGACTGAAGGGTTTGGCTGCTATTCACGTGATCTAGACGAAATCGAAAACAAATCAATTTAGAATTTATTGCTCCATGTACGGCATCAAGGCAGACCTAGCCTATAAATTGTTATAAAAGGCCCTTTAGCAATAATCCAGGATTAAAATTTGGTTCTGTTTTTGTAATTTACGATATTCCTGTGCTTAGAGTAACATTTTGTGTTATCATTTCCGTATCTTCGAGTAAAGGCTCAACAGTATTTTGAAAACTCGAGTTGCATGTTGTTAGACAAGAAAACCTTGTTTAAAATGTTGCTTAATCCTGGGTTAAACGTAACATGATAACAGGAACATATGCATGCCATTACAGCAGGAACTTTGGAGCTGATTACAGTTAATGCAATGAATGTAACCAAGAGAGAATGATCTAGCTCATTTTCTCTTGATGTAACTTGATACACACACACACAAAACCTAAAACAACACTGGTCACAACCCAAAATGAAACCGCTTTGACATTTTGGCTAATGACAGTCAGATATCCAATGCAACATTTATATATAAAGAGACACTGTTAATTAGGAATTTAAAACTTACCCCTAATGAAAAAGGAAAAGCTTATCTCTATTAGATAATAGCTTGAGTGTGTACCGTAAATGACCTAATCAACGCAATTATTGAATGAGGCTGAGTAGGATGTGAAGAATTATGTAGATCGCGGCGTCTATTATATAATTTTAGAGATCCAGCGATGAATGATTTTAACTAACAGCTGGCTAATTCCTAGTATTTTGGAGTAATTTTCTTAGGGGGGCGTCTATTACACAGGGGGCGTTTTCTAGAGAGGGACGTCTAATTCAATTTTAACAGCGCCTAGCGTAGAGGAGGCGTTTATTTGGAAGTGGGCATCTATTAGGTCATTTACGGCAATTTACATAGAAATTTTCCCGCCATCTGTCACTTTTGTTGTTCCCTTTTTTGTTACGTTTAAATTTTGTTCTTACACATTCCATTAAAGATTACTTCTGAAGATGTGTGTTGAAGCATACGAAACGTTAAGTTAAAAGCTATTTTTTCCCTCTCTGTTCTCGTTTGCGTGTCATTTCGTATCAATCACGATGGCCAAAGAACAAAAGTATTTACGATATAATAAAACTTAAAACCTTAGTTATGAGTTTGTGCAACAAAATTAAAAGAAAAAAAAGGCATATCCGAAGTTCATTACTTACTGTAAGGAGTCTGATCATGAGTTAGCGCGACAAAATGATATTAAGACAGTCTGTCAGATATATGAAGAATCACCCAGTAGTTGGTAGAAACGTTAACGTGGCTCTTTTCTAAAGGCGATAGAGCATTTGGCTACAAAGCTCTCTACGTGTCAAAATTAGATACTGTTTCTTTAGATCCAGAAGTCTTTACGCGTCACAGTTAGATCATCCTATACTATTCAAGACGATTTGTCTACCTTCGCATTCCCCATGCTGGATGTTGGTAAACGTGCCTATGTTTCTAGGAAAAACAGCATTACTTGGGGAGTGAAATGTGAAGAACTCAGCTTCAGAGAATCGTAGGAAATATGTTAGATAGGTTTTGAAAATTGTACACAAATGTAGCGGTCATCTAGAAACTTGTAGCCTTCCTCAAGTAATAGAAAATTCTAGGCAATATTTGCTATTCCGAACAGATATTTTACAGAATTGGAAAAGCAGTTGTTGGGTGCACCTGTTTCATCACTGTAGCCCAAACGAGGCAGTTTCCCACAATGCATGCAATAATATAGATGACGTTGATTGTTGTTAAGACCACGTGAGCTGACTCAGACATGATTAAGCAATGTTAGTACGAATAAGAGATCGAAAAGCGAGTCAGTAAAACCTAATTCGATACATACTGTTAAAATGCTGTTCGCACGACATTAAAAAAAGAGCGAAAGTGGCATTTGCTTGGCTCTAAATCCACGACGTACCACTATCAATTAAGTTAAAGGGCTTAAATTGAAACTAACATACATAACGTCTGAAGTTAATATAAAATAGAAACTCTTTTAAAGTTACCTGAGAGACAAAGAAATCGGTCATGTAGGGTCTACAATGTTCCCAAATATTTAGGCCTGTTTCATATACGACAAACTTCTTACTGCCGAATTTAATGCTAATGAGGTGAAACAGTGGCGTTTGGTGTCAAATGCGGGCCCTGTTTTCCAATTAGTGCGTGTGCCTCCTCGATCATTATCGATAAACAGCTAGAAAGAAACTGTAATTGAACTTCAGCAGGTGTCAGTACACCGCTAACTACAATAAAGTTATATATAAATATGATAAAAGGTAGAATGAAAAAAAAAAAGGACGTTCACCATTATCCTGAGATCTGAGTAGTACAGGGATCGCCGGTTAGGTCGTTTCTTAAGTGAAACCTTTTGTCTTTTATATCTCATGGATGAAATGCGGGGTAATCTCATGAAGATAACGTCACGTGCTATTTGTAGGTGGTTTAACGGTCTGACAGGTTTGTAAATCGACGATGTCATAATTCCTTTAAAGTTGTGTGTGCCATGTCCTTATTTGGTCATGATAATGTCATAGATTATTGTAACTTAGAACAAACAACACTGAATCTTAATGTTTTTCCCATAGGCAATGAAAGGATAGACATTATACAAGACTATACTTACTTAGAGATTCGTATCTCATCATCCGGAAATTTTACATTTCACTTGAATATCTTCCACAAAAAAGCCTTTCATCCTCTTTTTAGTCAAGACGCCACACTGAATTTCGTAAATTGAAACCTTCCCTTGCAAGTACAATTTTTGACACAATGGGCATGATTTCACCGATTTTACCTTACAATAGTGAAATCAGATTTTAAGTCATGCGGGGTTCGTACCCTTTTTAGGAAAAAAAATTCAAGGACTTTTCATGGACTTTCAAGCACATTTCCCAATTTTCAAGGACTCCATTCAGTGCAAAAAGAGCCTTGAGTCTATGTCTTTTTTAGTTCTTCCACAACATGAGTAATTTTAGCCCGAAGGCCTTTCTGTGTTTCCTCCTTTCTCTTTGTAGTTCTACTTAAACTATAAAGTTGGCATTAACATTCAAGGACTTTCAAGGCCTTTAATTTTCATTCTAAAATTTAAGGACTTTCAAGGTGCGTGCGATCCCTGGTCATGGGATAGCTCCGGAATCGAAAAAACTCATTTACACTTTTGTAAACGATATTTAGAAGTCCATAACAAGTCATCCAATGTTGCATGCAGATCTGAGTTTGGAAGATTCCCTTTGATCATTGATATAAATAAAAAGATTAACTTACGATTACTTAAACTATCTCAAAGAAAAAGATAAAAATTCTATAGTTAAACAATCTTTAAAAATATCTGTTGATCTCCATCATAATGGTCAAAATAGTTTTTACTCCAGTCTCAAGAAGATGACTGACTACCATAATTTCCCAGGCTTTAATTGTCATTTACTGAATGAATGTAAAATTAAGCAATATGTAGATCATATGCAAAAGAAATATGTGTCTTAATGCAATCATACCCTTCAACATTCACAAAAACTTTTAACTTGTTACAAAATGAAAACGAATTATAGCCCCCCTGCCTACCTACTCTCTGATCTAACAAGAAAGAACCCTTCTAGGAAAACATTAGTGAAACTGAGAATAAGCGGTCACAAACTTAGGATTGAGACAGGTAGATACAACCATATAGCACCAGCTTAAAGGTTATGCAGTCTCTGCAATTGTAAGAGAATTGAAGATGAAACTCACTTTTTATTAGATTGTCTAAGTTTTTCTTCGATAAGACAGATGTTCTTCTCTAAACTAGAATTCTACGACTACAATCACATGAGACCTTATTATCATATCTAATGAATTCTACTGACTATTTTATTAACATCCATTTAATTTCATTTATATCATCTTGCTTTGAATTGAGAGACAAACTCTACGGAATTTTACGGAATAATTAATCCTACTGATGGTTGAAAATAAGCAATGATTAATATTTAATTTAAAAAGGAATCAAAAATTAAATTCAAGTAGCTTTTGCAATAAAACTGTAATACTTTGTCATAGTCATGCAAATAAAGCTTATTGTTGTTGTTGTTGTTGAGGTAAGAAAGGGGGGGGGGGGGGTCTCAAAAAAATTTTTTTGTGCCCCTCGGCAGTCAGTTTGGTCTAAAAATAACGGGGAGGCCCGGGCCCCTCCCCTGGGTCCGCTACTGCTCTTTATAGTTCACCGTACTCACTGCTAATTGACGGATGAGAACAACATGATGACATTGAATTAAGGGCTATTCCCCGTTGGCTTTTTCGATGCGAGGGAGGCATTCGACTGGCTGCTGACGAAATGACATCAAAACTGGTTGCCCGTTTCCGCGTGACAGGAAAGCCTGGTCTGTTCTACAAAACGTCGGTCCAGGTTGAAAGGGCTGAGTTCCTGTGATTTCTGCTTCTGGCACGGTGTTCTCAGGTTTTCTTAGATGTAGTATTTCGAGAAATGCGTGTCGTAGTTTCTTCATACGCGAACAGTAAATTATAGGATTACACAGGGAACCTAACATCATTGGAATTCCCACCCAGCTCCACGTAATGGCTATAAAACGCGGCTTTACTAAAATGCTGTCTGAGGAAGCAGTCACTAACGCAATTATTATTGCTGGTAAATAAGTTATTACTAAAGTAATTAGAACGATTGCTAGAGTGATGGCTGCCCTTCTGCCTTTCTCGATTCTTTGGACTTGCACTTAAGGCAGTGGTTCGGCTTTGAGGAGTTTAACTTGTTTTCGTGTCTCTGAGTAACACTTTGTGTCACGTTCACGATCGAATAAATCAGGTAGATGCTGTTTAACCTTTCTTTGAGTGTTTTATATTTCTGGAAGCAGAATATTGAATATTGCGTTTAGATTAGTTTGAGTATATGAAAATTTAGTTTGAATGTTTGGAAATTTGGTTTGAATATGAATTAATGTATTTATTTATTTATTTATTTATTTATTTATATATTTATAACAACTTTATTTGTACTAATCAATACAAAAAGCCTGCCATCAGGGAGGAAATGAATCCTCATGTAAGATGACCCCCTAAAAATATCTACAAAGCTATTAAGGAAAGATATCACTAAAATATATCTATTAATAATGGAGTTATTAAAATTATCTAATTATCAAATTAAATATGCAATCGCAACAATTTTATGGTCATTACGTACTAGTTAAAAAGTGTTCTCTTAAGCCCTTTTTAAATTTTGACAATGAATCGGCACATATTAGAGAATCTGGTAACGAGTTCCATTTATCTATATATCTATGCCAGAAAGAGAATTTTAAAACATTAGTTCTTGAAAAAGGTTTCCAAATCTTCCAACTATTTCTTGATCTAGTGCTAGCACGAGAGAAAGATAAATAATTGTCAAGCTTAACTCTCGAGAAACTATTAATAAACTTAAATAATTGAATTTTCGACAGATATTCCCTACGGGACTTAAGTTCCATCCAACCAAGGTATTGCAGACGTTCGGTATAATCAATAGGTCCACCAAGGATCCAGCGTGAGACATTTCTTTGGATTCTTTCAAGTTTGTCTGACAGGTAGGCTTGATGTGGATTCCAAACGGGACATGCGTATTCGATGATAGGACGAGCCATTGTTTTGTATCCAATTATTATTGCTTCAGAGCACCTGCCAAATGTGCGTTTAAGTAGACCCAAGATCCTGTTGGCCTTAGCAGCTATTGCAAGGACATGATGTTTCCAAGATAGATCAGATGAGAATGTTACACCCAGATGCTTGTGGGTAACTACTTGTTCCAGGGGTAACACTGTCCTTTAACCTTAGATCTTGTTACTAATGTACTAATTCAATAACGAATCTTTATTTTTATAGAAAATTCATTTATTCCTTATACGAAGATGATGTGAAATTTGCTTAAATAACCTGAGATAACCATGAATGCAGAAACACGCTGCTTTTCTATTGGATTTTATATATAATTTACATTGACGAAACACTGTTTTGTCATGTTTTGACACTGTTTATATTTTGTTTTTATGTGTACTCTCATCATGAAAATCAGTTGGGGATTAGCGCCATCAGACTGGGCCAATGTTTGTAAGCAGGTCAAGCCTTCTTCTACCAACATTAACCAACAGATAATAGTCTATTGCAATGTAACTAGGAGCATGTTTTGTTTATAATTTGATATTTTCTGAACGACCTCTGCCATTAGGTAGTACTCTTAGCAAAGGAATCCATTGTGTCTTGGTAGGCTGCAATAACGGACGTGGCTCTTATAGAAAAATAATTCAAAATTAGTAGTTAACTGGGAAATGAAAAGTTAACAGTAAAATGACACTCTATTAATTATACTGAATACTGATCGCTGATGTTATGACAGCAACAAAGTTTGGAAACAGAAATGCTATTTTCTGCCTTTTTTCTTTCCCGGCGCTGATGACCCGGTGACGCATTAACTGATATTACTATATGCAAAAGGCACCACGGCAGTACCCGGCAAACAGAGAGCGTCAGTCATAGAGCAGACAACTCAACGAATAATTCGTCCTCTAATATTAACAAGATTTTGGTGTTCGGAAAGGAAAAGACTGTTTTCAAGGACCCAAAAGATCGTCAAGTTAAACAGTACTACCCAAAGAAAAAAGCTGTGACTCTTAGCATTGGATCTGGCCAAAAAGAAATTCTGATGGCTCAAAGAAATCCCAGGAGAAGAAGTCACTTCCTTGTAAGAGGCTAATGGAGTTGGCCGCTGGATGGGATCGCATTTTCACGACTGGATTGACTAAAATTACATTTGCATGCCCAGACTATAATGGGGTAGGGGCTCTGAGAGGCCAGTGGCACATACCCAAGTATCCCCCCCCGGGAAAGAAATCAGCATCTTTCTTTTGGGTACATGGAATTTGTACTTACGAGAAATAATTTTTGTAACTGATGTTGCAGTTGTAGCTATTGAGACTACTAAGCTCGTGTTTAAACCGGTCTTTGTGAAACAGTTTCATTTCTTAAAACCCTTGTGATGAAATCAGTACATTAACAGTAAATTATGTACGTGTAATTAGTCATCATTATGTACGTCACTAATCAGATATTCTAAGCCTTGGCTGAATGTAATAAACACAAGATCATACACAGATCAGTCTGACTGATATCTCCGAAACTGGTGCCGAGATCCTTGTAAAAATGTCTAAAGAGGAAGTGAAACACCACAAGGCAGTCAGAGGGGCATACAGAGGACACTGCAATCAAGACATCAAACGCGCGCAACTACTTATGGCTGATACTGAGGTTATAAACAACACAGAACTGAAAGCAATTGCAGAGCGGCTCTCAAGACGATTGGACGAAATAAAAGCAATGGATTGCACGATCTTGAACGCACTTTGGAAAGGACGAAGAAATAAGCGAAGAGACAGATCAAGCATTGACGTTCCAAGACGATATCTATTATTAGATTCTGAAAATTAAAGAATTTGTAACAGACGAACATCATCCGGTGAGTACGTTCCAAACCAAACCAACACCTAGAGTCCACATCAACCTTCCAAAACTACATATCTAGCCATTCGACGGAAACCCAGAACAGAACAATTACGTTGTACAATATTAAGAACAAATCCTCTCGCAGATTGTTCCCTAAATGATTTACGAACAGCACTTTGTCATGAAATAGACACAAGGGAAAAAAGTCAACTTACGCGAGAAAACGACACAAGCTCAGACGTTGACGACGTTCTCGTATCCACAGTTGGCGCCTTACTCACAAACACTCAACCGCGCCTAATACACCCCTCACCAAAAAGCTTCAATACGAACGGAAGATTCGAGCCAAAACCATGCATATATTGCGACGGGAAACACCGTCACGACAAATGCTCGAAAGTAAAAACAACAAAAGAGAGACGGACCATATTGGCGCAGAAAAATAAATGCTTTAACTGCCTCCGATCAGGCCACACAAGATATCAATGTCGCTCAAAAGGAAGATGTCTAAATTGCCGACAAAAACACCATACGTCGATCTGTGAACCAAAAGAGCCTAATCGGGATTCAAGCAAAAAACATGAAAACCAAGAAGACCCACAAAACAACAACATCGTCACATCCACAATGACAACCTTGGCAAGTACAACGACACATACAAATACACTAATGCAAACTGCACTGGTCACAGCGAGCGGATCAACTACGAGATGCCAAGCGCGCATCCTTATCGATACTGGATCACAGAAGACATTCATTACGCATGCAATGCCTGAAGAATACGCTACAGTTGAAAGCAGCTCGGAGCGAAATATTAGACGTAACCACATTTGGTTCAACCACAGGAACTCCAAAATCCTAGGAAGTCGTAACACTTACCATAAACGCGGCAAGTAAAGATGTCAAAATAACAGCTTTAGTCACGCCCATCATCTACCCACCACTCTCAAGTACCCAACATACGGAAATTCCTGTTGAATTCAAAGCCCTCACTTTCGCCGATCCACTAAACGCGGAAGGTGAACGCACAATAGATCAATACTCATCGGAAACGACCACTACGCCCAGATCATTGTGGGAAACACAAAGAAATCACAAGATGAGAGATGGATAGCCACACAAAGCAAGTGTGGATGGCTTCTCTCAGGACCGGTACCCAACAACGAATCCAGTACGGAAACTACACTCAGCAAATTATGTCAAATGGTTGATGCACAGCCCACAAGAAACAAAGACCTCAACGCAACTCTCACTAATTTCTGGGAAATAAACAAAATCCCAGACGAATGCAACGACCCTGAGGCAACAGACGTCCAGAAACATTTTCAAGATACTATTGAATTCAACAAAGTTACCGGCAGATATAATGTAAGACTCCCATGGAAGGACAACAAGCAAAACCTACCAACAAACTTCACATTAACGAAAAAAAAGACTAAACAACCTGCAACATACCCTAAAAAGGAAAACATCCAGAGCGTATTTACAAATACAACGACCAACTGCTCGATCAACTCAAGAGAGGATTTATAGAACAAGTCCTCGATCCGAACACACATCAAGGTGTCATACACTACATACCCCATTTTCCAGTCTTCAAGGAAAGCAGCACAACAGCTATCAGAATCGTTTACGACGCTTCAGCAAAAATATCATCTACGGCATTAAGCCTCAACGATTGCCTTCATACAGGGCCTGACCTCATACAAAGACTACAAAATATGTTACTCACCTTCAGATCACACAAGATAGCCTTCACGGCAGATATCGAAAAGGCGTTCTTACAAATGGAGCTCAACACTCAAGACAGGGAATACGTAACCGGTCTCAGGGAACAACATTCATCGCAGAAGAACAAAAACATATCGGGAGAGCGTGTGGCTCGAGGTAAGGTTGTCCTGATACATCATGAAACACCGCGAAATCAGTGGAAACTCGGAGTCATCATTCAGCTACATCAGGGGAAGGATGGATTGGTACGCTCTGTCACTCTGAGAACAGCAAAGAGAAACCTAATCTCGAGACCTATCGAGAAGCTTTACCATCTTGAAGTGTTAGCCGAGGAAGATAACCTGCATTATGTACGTCACTAATCAGATATTCTAAACCTTGGCTGAATGTAATAAACACAAGATCATACACAGATCAGTGTGATTGATATCTCCGAAAACCCTTGGATATCTTTATGACGCTTTTGAAATACGCGATGCGCTTTTGAAATAAGGTAGGTCTAAGAAGTCTAAGAAAAAGGTAACATTGAGGGACGCGAAAGAGGATGTCGACAAAGTCTGTACTAGGGTGCAAAAAAACTTCTGACAACGCAGGTGGAAAACCTACACGCGGTTTCTCACTTCAACACAAAATATTTAGTGCTTTGAACTACGCCCAAGAATTTGGAACCACCGTGAAGGAATCGCTTAAAAGAACGACGAATTCGAAGTGGGCTACACTCACGAATAGTCGAATTCTCCCGAGTCAAATACTTTCATACCTTTGTCAGCTCTCTAAACTGTGTCCCTCCCATCGGTGCAAACACTGACAAAAGAAGATGAAGTTGCCATGAGGGACTGGATAGAACTTTCGACTTGTGCTGTCAACGAACTATAAGAAGCGAATCAACTCGCGATAAAGCGGGATCTTTGCCACCAGCGTCAAGGGACTATTTCATGCTATTTGTTATCTTTTTTTTCTTTTTTTACGTCAATTGAATTCCAGAAATAATGGTCCAGTTTTGTTATCTAAGACTATATTTTGGCATTGATATTGTTTCCCGTCGTCTGCTGAAATGGATTGCAAGGATTGAAAATGGATTGAAACGTAGGCCAACAACAAGATACATCAGGACATAAAGCAACAAGAAAAGTACGAGATTGATTCAGATAATGAAAGTGACGAAGAAGGTGACTTTGAAGTAGTTTATGGCAGGACATGCATGATCAGGTCGGGAAGATCAGTACGGGATCATGACTGGTGTGTCTGGATCTATGAGGCTGGTTTCATATTGATGGTTATACGACTTAATCAAATTTGTACTTACAGCATAAATCGGTTAATAGGGGTCTTAATAGCTATCGCTTACCCATTTTCACTTCTTCGGTTCTTTTCTATATTTTCAGTTACTTATAAATTGTATTTGTGGCTGAGTTTATGTAAATTCATGTAAATCTATACCTTGATTTTATTAGGGCCTATCCCCAAAAGTGATTGACGTGCTGAAGTAAAGAAAATTCGGGTTATGACGGAATAATATTCGCTGTAGTTAATAGCTAACCAAAATCAGTAGTTGACTGAGAATTGGCCAAAAAACTAGTAGTTAACTGTATTTGGCCGAAAAATCAGCAGTTAACTGAGAATTGGGTACCCCCATTAGCACCCTCACAATTGTTTAAATAATGAAAATAAGATACATAAGGAAGTCTGAATATTGCATATTCAGGTTTGAATATTAAATATTGATGTTTGAATACTGAATATTGACAGTTTGAATATTGAATACTAAAAACACAATATTCCGCTTCTACGCCCGATTACATTGTACAGTGGACGCTTATCTTCAATTTGTCATTTTAAGACATTGGGGTTCCTAAATTACATGGATGCTAAAAGCTATAAAGCCTCTCAGTATTTAAGCATAGCATAAGCAGCCATTGTGCAAAGGCACTAAAAGCCTTACAGAAAAGAGTAGCAGAAACGAGGAGGGTAAATATGAATAACACTGATTCTTTGGACTTGCACTTAAGGCAGTGGTTCGGCTTTGAGGAGTTTAACTTGTCTTCGTGTCTCTGAGTAACACTTTGTGTCACAAAGCCAGTTCACGATCGAATAAATCAGATAGATGCTGTTTAATCTTTCTTTGAGTGTTTTATATTTCTGGAAGCGGAATATTGAATATTGAATATTGAGTTTAGAGTAGTTTGAATATATGAAAATTTAGTTTGAATGTTTGGAAATTTAGTTTGAATATGAATTAATGTACTAATTCGATAAGGAATCTTTATTTTTCTAGAAAATTCAATTATTCCTTATACGAAGATCAGGGGGGGCTGGCAGCGAGGTCTGGAACCGAGTTTACATGATCGCCCCAGTGAAGAAATTCGGCCGAGTAAGACTGAGTACAAATCTTCCTTGAAAACAAATATGGCGGAGAATGCAGACATGGAAGGACGATGAGTTTTTGCTCGGTTTTAAGTTTTCCCGCGCACAAATCTCAAGAAAAGGTTTCTAGGAAATTTTTTGAAGGACCTTTTCAGTGCACATCAGAAGGCGTGATGTATGAACAGTTCATGGGTGACTTCACTTACGTGATTCGGGATCTCGGCAAGTTCAGTTATTTTTAAGCTTCGTGAATTTTCGAGCGACCATCTTGCTCCATATCTTATATTTATCCACTTGCAGTGGTATTAAGACTTTCTTCCTTATCTTAAACATATGCTACGAGCACAATATATTGGTATGAGTCTTGCAACAGTCCTATGTCACTATGTGAATGTTCATTAAACCACTGATTTTCTACTTCACTGTTCGTAAGTTTGTTTATACACCGGGAGGCACAACAAATGTTTATAGGCGTAAATACAGAATACAGGGCCAATTTAGTAAAAACCAGGATAAATGTTCCAATAATTTTGCTTCACATATAAGCTATTTTTAATATCAGAAGGCTGGGAGGGGTTTACTGAACCCTCAAAACCTTCACTGAAATGTCATTGGAGTGATAATTAATAAATTTCCAACAGCAATACCGTATTAGTTTTGTATTAGATAGTGACTCCGGTTTCAAGTATTTCCTTGAAATTGTTGGTACAAAAATTACCGTTTAGTTATGAATTATACTTGAAATGATTACAGTGGATTAGTGTAAGAACAAGAGGGTAATTCAGTTGCTAATAAGGGTGAGTACATCAGGAAAGAGTATGCGTTGAGAAAATCCGTCAAAGGACTGAAGTACAAGCTAGTACAAGAAACAGAAAAAAAAACTGAATGTTTTGCAAAGTTTATAAAGAGAGTCAGAAGAGGC